AAATTGCAAACCAAAAAAAATATCTGTAAATTACATATCCAATAATGTACCTATGAAAAATATAAATATAAATATATTATTTAAATAAAATATAGGTATATTATTTACCAAAAAAACATAAAAAAAACTAAGTCAGTTACTTTGTAATTGAAATTTCCGTACATTTTTCATAAATTAAAAATAGAAAATATACCTATAAATTTATAGAAAATATAGGTACATTATTTACCCATAGGTAAATTATTTTACAATATACCTATAAATGTGTATAGGTACATTATTTGGAGAGGAAAAATAGGTTCATTTAAAAAAATACATACATTGTTTTACTAGGTACATTATTAGAGGACAAAAAATAGGTACATTATTTGGAGAGAGAAAATAGATTCATTTAAAAAAATTGTTTTTTCATAAAACAAATAATAGGTGCTTTATTCAAAGAAAAAAGGGTACATTATTTTGAGGAAAAAAAAAAGGTAAATTATTTAGAGAAAAAATAGGTTCATTTAAAAAAAAAATGTTTTTCATAAAACAAACAATAAATCGATTATCAAAATATTTTTCAACACAATTAGAATGTACACTATTATTCATAAAACTATAATAAAATAGATTACTAGTAGTATAATTCATAGAAGGAAAACAACAACAAAAAATTATTAAATAAACCAAAACGTTTTTTTTTTTGGGTCATAAAACAAACCAAAACGTTACTAATACTTTAATGTTGAATTTAATATTTAATTTCAAATAAGTTTCTAAATTAATTCCTACATCCATTACAACTATTTGAAGATCTTTCTAAATTCAACGTGTGTCATTAGTTACACCCCACATAACACGTTAACTTGTAAATAGGGGTAGTTTTGGAATCCAAAAAATAGAATAAATCAGATTTTAAGCTAGATTAGGTAACTTGCTTACTTGGATCACAGTCATCGGGTTTTATTTGAAAAAATTGGGTATTTTAAATAGAAAAATAAAGGAAAGGGTTGTAAGTGATTACACATGAATTTTATGGGTCTAAGCTCAATTTACTAATTTTTAAAAAATATATAGGCGAGCGGCTATACTCCATAAATAAAAATTTTAAACGTATAGCCGTGCGGCTATACCCTATGAATAAAATATTTTAACAATATAACCGCTCGGCTATACTCTTTTAAATAGAATATTTTAAAAGTTTAGGTGCGGCTATACTCTTTAAATGTATAAAATTAGTTTTCTTTACTTTTGTTTGTTGGCCAACTTCTTTAATTTAATATATATAATTATGTAATATCTTTGTCTTTTTTAATTAATTTAATTAGTAATTATGTTTTAATTATTGTTTCTTTAGTGAATATTTAAATATTTTACTGATGTCATAAATGACTTAATAACTAGTAATTAATTATTTTATAAAAAATTAGTTTGGTCAAATCCAAGTCTCGAACCCTATCCATAAGCCTACTATGGGGTATTTAGGGTTTCAATTGGACTAATGGAAGAATGACTAATTGCACTTATGAAGTCTTCGCTTGAGGTTTATTGCTGAACCACATCACCCGCTCACCTCAAAATCAAAACCCAAAAGTCATTCTTCCATTCCATTAGTCCAATTGATCCAAATGGCCAAAAAGCCTCTAGCGGGAATACTCAAGGCCAGCACAAGGAACACACGAAAAAAGTTCGTAGGGTGAATTAAGTTGAAGATCATGAGGAAGGGAAACACCTCTCCGCTGGTTCAATTTATCCAATCCGCCAAAAAGCTTCATTTGGCTGGAATTAAGTTCAAGACAAAGGAGGCAAACAGCTTCTTGGATATCAGATTCTGCAACGGGGTGCTCGAAATCCCGAACATAACTCTAGATGATCTACGCACCGATATTTTCCATTGATGAGTTGTCTCATCAGCACGCCTGCGGACGCAGCATTTCCCAGTGACAAAAATATTATTGATAATTATCTTGGAACCGATGAGGAGGTTGCTCATTTCTTCAAAAACCTTGGCAAGGATGTGGCTTTTGATATTGACGAAAGTTATCTATGTAAGTTGTTCAAGGATGTGAATGAGTACCAAAGAAATATTTGACACGTGAGATGGGCTGGTTTTTTATTTAAGTATTTTGACACCCCATGGTCTTTCTTGTCAGCTGTAGCTGGTCAAAATTTGAGTTTCGACTCTGCCCAAAAACGACCGGTCGCTTTTGCCTCACGACCGGTCGCTTTAGTACTGTTCATAGGTGATAAAAGGGTGATAGAAAGTGCTGTTTGTGTTTTTCTTTAGTTTTCTTGTGTTGTTTCATTTCTTTTACACTTCTTTACTCATTTCTAGTTTCCCTCTTTCATTTGTGCATTTGTGGTGTGTTAATTAAGTGTTCTCTTTGTACTCGAATTAGAACTTATAGGAAACCGACAAGTTCTTCGTGGGATCGACCCCGTACTTACATAATCTATATCTCAATAGATTCGTGCACTTGCGGGTATTTTTAATTGGTTGTTTGCACATTAATTTATGTCCTTTTAGGAATGCAACAAGCACGTATCTTGCCTGTAATTTCCAGCTACAGGAATCATTCGTCTGTAAACTACGAGACATGTAATACATACTTTACAGGAAAAGTAGAAGAGCCATTTGCAATTCATAAGAAAGCTCTGCCCCCTTTATTTTCTCTAATTGTCCCTCCAAAAACTATATAAAAAGACTTCTGACGGGGTTAGTATCTACAACACTCCATCAGGCCCTTAATTCACATTTAATAGTTATATATAAATAAAGAATACTTAGAGAAATGATCAACTACACGCGTAAATATTTATAGTATTAACTTGGAGCACAAGGAATGCAAATGCTACATAAAACACCCCATGGATGGCTGAAGCAAACACCATGCGAATCTTAGCTCTTTGTTTTTTTTTTTGGGCGAACTAAAAATAGTAAATTTGACTTTTCCCCTTTGATTTAATTTTTCTTACCTACAACCCATCACTTTATTTTTCTAACTAAAATCCGATGACTAGGATCCAACTCATTAAGTTACATAATTTAGCGGGTTGGCAAGTTGTATATGTATTTTAGTGGGTAATAGGTATCTTAGCGGGTTGGCGGGTTGACCCGCCATGTCTCGTTTTGATAAACGGGTTATATAGGTATTTTTAACGGGTTGACGAGTTGACTCAAAACTCACCCATTTATTAAAAGGGTCATGGCGGGTTAACCCGAAAATGACCCGAATTTTAATCGTGTGGGTTAAACCTGCTAATTTATCATGCGAATTTCGAGTTGTGTAACAGGTCGTGCCCAAAATTGCCACTCCTAAATGAGGGCATGATCTTTTCCTCCATTAGCTATTGGCGAGCTTGAGTGTCAGTTCATTGTAGCTCTAATTACAAAGGGCCTTAACTTGCTAACTAGATATCTTATGTTCGAATTCTCATAGCATTTTTTTATTTTTTGGAGTACAAGTGATAGTCTAAACTACAGGGGATAATGATTTCTTTAATACACACACAATTATGATGTCGTGGGGATTCGAACCTAAGACTTCTAGTCTGCAATTCAAGGCTCTTTTCCACTGAGCTAGACCCCGTTGGCATCTTAGTTGTGTGTATGTGTGTGTGAAACCCCCATCATTTCTAGTTTAGACTATCACTTAGAACAAATAAAAATAAATAAATAATTCCACCCAATGGATTGACAACCAGGGCCGTAGTCCATCTTCACATGATTCTACTCGAGCCATCCAATCACTGATCGCCACTTATGGTTTTGTAATGTAGTCCCCCTGCTAATTTTATGTTATTTATTGAGTTTAAACCAAAATTCTCTATTTTATTTTGTTGTATAATTTGATTATTAACTTTTTAAAGTATTTAAATGTAAATAATTTTTTATTAATATTTTGGTCGAAGCTGGAAGTGAGTAAATGACCCTTGTGTATGAAATTATTAAAATAACCATGCCACGTCATCAAAGGTGATTTATACAGGCGATATTAGGGGAGTGAGATTTTTTACAACTATCAGGATGCTATGGAGTTTGAACCTGAGATCATTGGTCTGTAAATCAAGGTCCTTTTTCCATTGGGTTAGACCCCGTTGGCAAAGTTGACATAATTATAAATAAAGATGACGACAGAGGGTAAAGTGGAACACTAAATCTTGATCAAGGAGGCAAAGTGAGCCTCTTTAAGGTCGGAGGGATAATGTAAAATTTAATCATAGTACAATAGTTAATAAGCCTAAAATAAACCTAACACAATAGGAATCCAACAGTGCTAATGCCCAAGGAATCTTTGGTGGGCCACACCCCTAGCCTCATGAGGCCCGAATAATTAGAAAATGACATTTTCTAGTAGGATTAGGTCTCTTTTTATTTTTTGGTTGAAAAGTAGGATTAGGTCTTCTTTCACTTCTTCTATCACTTTCGCATAAAACAATTCGTCAACTGAATTTGCATGAAAGAAAGAGAAAAAAGGAAAAAAGTTAAGAGGGTGGAGTGGAAGGGAGAGAGAAAGAATGACAGGATGGTTCCTTGCAGTTTCAAAGAAGACTGAAGGTGATCAAATTTTCTTCTTTTAACTATTTGTAAGAGCATCTTCGGTGCTAGGGAACACAAAGAGTTAATTATGGTTATATTCATGAATACGTATCCAGTGTTCATAAATGATAAACGTCTCAGTAGCGGGGCCTCCACTTGGCTATAAAGTGTCCTGACATATGCATTGCTTCACTCTCCTCCAAGGATCAATTTTGGACAGTGCAGATCATTTCTTTGTTGAGCAAATCAACGGCCGTAATATTTGAGAGGATTTCAAATTGTTATTTGAATTGAATGGTAATCAGTAAACTAAATGAAAACAAGTCTACTGAATTTCCATGAAAAGAAGAGAAAGATTAAAGCTGGAGGAGGGTGGAAGGAAGGGGGAGAGAGAGAGAGAGACTGACAAAGGATTGTTCCTTGCAGTTTCAGAGAAGGCTGAACTTTTGTTGTTCCTTCAACTCTTCTATAAATACAATACAACTTGAGTCTTAGTCTACACACACTACATGAAAACAAGATGACATACTCATGCAGAAGAATCGATTGAGGGCTGAATCACTCTTGCGAATCAAATTGAAGGCTGAACGATCAAGAGAGCTGGGGTACTTCCGAATTCTTATAAACATCTTGCACTTGTTAATTTCTTTTTCTTCTTTAAAAAAAAATAAAAAAAATCACTTGATGTCATTGATTGCATTAGAGAAACCAGCTATTGCTAAAGCTCAAAACCAACAAGACAACTATTGTAGGGTATATTGCATTAGATTGCTTATTTTTTGCTTTAACATTGACTGAAAACGGGAATAAACCCACCCATTAAATTCCTGGTTTTTGACTTATGAATTTGTTAATTAGCTTGATTTCATCATGATATTAAGTAAGAATAACAAGGAGATGCCCTAATTTTAGAAATAATCCCTTCACATTTCATACATCTTTGCTGGTGATACATAATATTGTATATCTTAGTTGTTTTGTTTTATACTTGTGTCATATAATGCTTGACTTACCACTTTTGTTGCTTAATTAATTTTAGGAATAAGTAACGATTTGGGGTTTCTACCAAACCAGAGTTTGTAAGCCGCCTTTCTCCGCGTTGATTATCAATGTTCGTCTTCCCAAAACCAGAGTTTGTAAGCCGCCTTTCTCCGAGTCGATTATCAATGTTCGTGCCCAATACCAATTCTACTGATGTTGCTGATGCTGCTGAACTACTCTTCAGTCTTTCAATCTTTGGGTTCAGCCAACTCTCTGCCGCTGATCAACATGAGAAGACGAAAGAAATGTATAAAAAAGTAGTTGAAGATGTTGTAGTGGAGCAACTCTCGGAGGAAAGTGAAGAGGATTTCAGACTCAGAACATTCACAGAGTTATTCAACAAACTTCCCTTCCCTGACCAGAACCATTTCCTGTTCACAGTTACAAAGAAATTCAAGCGCGAGAGGCAAATTGGCGAGTTGATTTCTTGGTTCACTACTGAACTTGACGCCAATGATCAACAACAACTTATTGGAGAAATGGTTCATGTTAAAGCTGATGAGGAAACCAATGACGAAGATTTCAGGCTCAGAAGATTTACACAGCTTTGTAAGGATTATACTGACTATGTTTATGCAATTCTTATCGCCTGCAGGAAGAAATATGGCGAGAAACCAAAACATAATGAAGGTTGCTCAGATTGGCAGTCTCGTTTTGCCGAGTTTTTCTTAGGATTCTCAATTACGTGGTTCAAGGGACAAAGCTCATATGGTCAGTGGCAGCTGATTGAACAACTCTGTGATGGAGTTAAAGGCGTCGTAGTTGAGAAGCTCGCAGAAGAAATGTTTATTCATTCTTTCTTTATTTTTTCAATGATGGAAGCTTGCATGCATGTCCTAGAGCATAGATGAAATTGATTGCTTCTTCTTTTCATTTGGCATTGGTGGAAAACACTTAATATCTACAAATAACCACTCATTAAATATAAAACAAGATTGGAAAGAAAACAATATAAATACTCTAATAGATTTACATAATACAAAAGAAAATACTAACAAATATAAATTTAAGGATAAAACTTGTATTAATTTTGTGCTCATCATTAATGTCGAAAGACTTGCAGGGGAAACAGAGGAAGATTTCAGTAGGAAAACATTCGCAAAGCTGTTTAATAAAGCTCCGGTGGCTACACGAGTTCATTTATTCAAGAAGTTGAGAAAAAAATTCTCCCGTGAAAGACGCTTATGCGAGTCGATTCTTTTGTTCAGGCAACTGGATTCCAATGAGCAACAAGAAACGATTGAAAATATGCATGATCGGTTCGTGAGGCAAGGAAGCAAAGATGTCAAAGATGTCATACTCGAGAAACTCTCCAAGGAACGCGAGGAGGATTTTAGGCTCAGAAGATTTATTAAGCTGGTTAGCACATCTGCATTCCGTTTAGGTAACTTCCTTCACGATGAAACTAATGAGAATCCACAAGGGCTTCATATGCAGACGTCAGGTATAGATATGGAAGAGATAGAAGAAATCAAGCAGTCCCGCTATGCTGAATTTTATTTGGGGTTGTCAATTATTTGGTTCAACGCACGATGTGCCAGTGATCCAAGAAACCTCATTCAAGTACTTGTTGGTAAAGCTCGAGGAGGTGATGATACAATTGAGAAACTCGTCAATGAGACTGAGGAGGATTTCCGGCTCAGAAGATTTAGAGAGTCGTTTAAAGAACTTAAATTCAGTTCCCAGGAGTATATTGTGGCACGTATTCAAGATACAGTATTTCATGATCTAGGTGTTCATGAGTGTCCGGTTTTTGATTGTCAGGGTTCCATTCGTCCCGAAAATAGGCGTCTGCTTGCTCCTGAATTCATCAAGGTGAAAATTCCAAAACCAAGAGGACTAGGAGGAGCAGCAGCCACTCAAGGAGGAGGACAGGGGGCAATTACACAAGGAGGGCAGGGGACAAGTCAACAGTAGGGATGATTTGCAGTCATGTGCATTAGGAAAGAAGCTTTCAAATAACAATTCAAAAGATGTGGTCAATTCATAGATTTAGCAGCACTATGTGCGTTTTAATCGTATGCAATATAGCATTACTCTTGTTGTTTCTTCTTTATGAGACGAGAAACGCAAAAGGCCTCCCCTCCCTTTTGTTTGTATTTCTTATTATATCATTATCTCTCATCTATGAATAAATGTTTATGTTGAAATTAATGCCCTCTCCTTGTCTCCTTCTCCCTCTTTTCAGCCAAACCCTCGTCCGATCCTCTCTTCCCTTGCCTTAAAAACTCTGTTTCTCATAGGAAATCACAGCTCTTTCTCTCTCTCTCTCATGCTAAACTCGCGAATGCTCAGCTCCCATGCCACAAGCTTCTCATGCCAAGCCAAGAATTGATTTGCAAGCAATTGTCTTTTTGTTGGTTAAGATAACCAGGGTGCTTCATAAGGCTTCGCTACCCTTTCGAAGCATTCTTGGGGTCTGATTCTTGAACTCAGACACAAGGGGCGATTCCAGCCATTTGCTCTTTACAGCAGCCCATGCCCACTCGTCAAGCTGCTGGAACGAAAAAGCCCCTACAGGTTGGAGAGAGAGGAAGAAGAAGATGGATATAGACAGATAAACAAGTCAAAAATGAGATGTGCAGTGCAGGTAGGGACGAAGAGGAAAAATTGAAGAAAAAGAGGAGATGTTTGATGGGTCTCAGTTGGGTATCCAGGTTTTGTTTTACCCGTTTGTATGTGAAACCTATTAAAACCATGTTTTAATCTCAATCGTTCAATTTTTATTATGTTTTTTTTGAGTAAAAAGGGGATTCATTAATTTACCCGTTTGTATGTGAAACCTATTAAAACCATGTTTTAATCTCAATCGTTCAATTTTTATTATGTTTTTTTGAGTAAAAAGGGGATTCATTAATCAGTCAATACGAAGACCGGCATGGATAACAGTGGCCTCATTAAAACCTTCCTAAAGAAAACCCAATGGGAAAAACTTTAGGTGAGGAAAAAGAGTACCACACACACCAAATTACAACTGAAAATTTAGACAAGAACATTGGACTCAGGCCAATCATCATAAACTGCATCCACAAGCCACAAAGGACCCACATCCATCCAACAAGAACGGCTTTGATCAAGGAGACTGAACCGAGCAATACGATGGCAGCCCCATTCCCATTACGAAGAATATGCCTAACAATAGAAGACTCATGAGTAGCAAGAAGACGTCGCACCCCAATGATATTCTTATACAAAATTCTCATTTATTGTTCTTATTAGATAACCGCCTATACTAAATAAGCCTAAAATGAACCTTCTAATGCCCAAAGAATCTTTGGTGGGCCGCAGCCATAGCCCCATGCCGCCCTAATAATTAGAAAAGGATGTTTTCTAGTGGGATTAGTTCGTCTAATTTTTTTTTTTGAACAAAAGTTTAAGGGGAGGGAGGCTTTTTTACTTCTATCACTTTCGTATAAAACAAGTGGTCTACTGAATGTGCATCAAAGAAAGAAAAAGAAAAAAGTTAGAGGGTAGAGTGGTAGAAAGAGAGAGTGACGGAGGATGCTTCCTTGCAGTTTCAAAGAAGACTTAGGTGATCAAATTTTCTTATTTTTACCATGGGCCATTTTACTATTTGTAAGAGCATGTTTGGGTGCATGGGTGTAAAGGAAAGAAACCATGCGACCCACGACGCATGAAACGTGTCAACAGCGGGGCCACCGCTTGGCTGAAAAGTGTCCTGACATATGCATTGCTTCTCTCTCCTCCAAGGATCAAACTTTGGACAGTGCAGATCATTTCTTTGAGCAAATCAACGGCCGTAATATTTGAGAAATAAATCTTAATATACCTGACTCTGCACAATGTCATTTGAAACTTGCAAGTCTTGAAATTGTAAAGGGAAACTTGCAGGGTTATATGGTTGGAAAATATGTTGGGGTTCTTGGTAAGGCATCCATGATATTGTATTAGGTGCCTCGTGATCTTGTGCCTATGCAGTATTACAATAACATTTTAAACTAAAACATGATATGAAAACAAAAATTAAATAAATGATACTTACAAGGTGTGTAGCTGGATGACATATGTTATTATCTCTTATGTGTTGCATTTGGAGATGCACCTGTTCATAATATACAAATTTAAAACTAAATGAATTTAAAAAATTATTATATTGGAATTGAACTTTGAATGTAAAAGAAGAACATACCTGTGACGAACGAGAACTAGATGATTTTTTATTCTTAGCTATGTTTTTCTCCAAACAACTTTTTATTCTTTTTCTTCCTCGGGAGGCTTCCCTCTTCTTTAATCCCTTTGCTTGGATAACTTTTGCACTATCCAAGTAACATGCCTCATTAGCACCATCTGTCACTATGGTGGAAGGTGACCCTTGGGCATCCTTATCATGTACTTGACCATCCATTTTTGAACTTAACATGTCTTCAATGGTTTTGCTTAGTTGATTCAAATGACTAACAGAAAACTTATATGTTTCTTCGCTCTCAGCGGCTCGAGATGATATCTTGGTAAACATGGAACATAAAGACCTATATCGATATGTTTGTTGTAGTTTCACATCTATCTGGATGTCACGTCCGTGCATATCTTTCACACTTTCAGATCTTGCTTCTGCCCGTCCTTGTTTCTGCCCGTACTTTCGTGCCCAATACCAATTCTACTGATGTTGCTGATGCTGCTGAACTACTCTTCAGTCTTTCAATCTTTGGGTTCAGCCAACTCTCTGCCGCTGATCAACATGAGAAGACGAAAGAAATGTATAAAAAAGTAGTTGAAGATGTTGTAGTGGAGCAACTCTCGGAGGAAAGTGAAGAGGATTTCAGACTCAGAACATTCACAGAGTTATTCAACAAACTTCCCTTCCCTGACCAGAACCATTTCCTGTTCACAGTTACAAAGAAATTCAAGCGCGAGAGGCAAATTGGCGAGTTGATTTCTTGGTTCACTACTGAACTTGACGCCAATGATCAACAACAACTTATTGCAGAAATGGTTCATGTTAAAGCTGATGAGGAAACCAATGACGACGATTTCAGGCTCACAAGATTTACACAGCTTTGTAAGGATTATACTGACGATGTTTATGCAATTCTTATCGCTTGCAGGAAGAAATATGACGAGCAACCAAAACATAATGAAGGTTGCTCAGATTGGCAGTCTCGTTTTGCCGAGTTTTTCTTAGGATTCTCAATTACGTGGTTCAAGGGACAAAGCTCATATGGTCAGTGGCAGCTGATTGAACAACTCTGTGATGGAGTTAAAGGCGTCGTAGTTGAGAAGCTCGCAGAAGAAAGCCAGGCGGATTTCGAACTCAGAAGATTCACAGAGCTATGTAAGAGAGTGGTTGACTTTGATATCCAAGTCCACTTTCTTGACGAAGCTGTACAGCAGCTGCGATACGTACGAAGAGATCTTCCTCACTGGGTGCGCGTTCAGCCCCAAGATTATGCCAGTGCTGCTGAATTACTCTCTCAGCTCTCGAGTTTTGGGTTCAGCCTACTATCCCCCAACAACCAACAAGACAAGATTGAACAAATCTCTAACGAACTAGCTGTCAAAGTTGTTAATGTCGAAAGACTTGCAGGGGAAACAGAGGAAGATTTCAGCAGGAAAACATTCGCAAAGCTGTTTAATAAAGCTCCGGTGGCTACACGAGTTCATTTATTCAAGAAGTTGAGTAAAAAATTCTTCCGTGAAAGACGTTTATGCGAGTTGATTATTTTGTTCAGGCAACTGGATTCCAATGAGCAACAAGAAACGATTGAAAATATGCATGATCAGTTCATGACGCGAGGAAGCAAAGATGTCAAAGATGTCATACTCGAGAAATTCTCCGAGGAACGCGAGGAGGATTTTAGGCTCAGAAGATTTATTAAGCTGGGTAGCAGATCTGCATTCTTTTTGGATGACTTCATTCAGGATGAAACTAATGAGAATCCACAAGGGCTTCATATGCAGACGTCAGGTATAGATATGGAAGAGATAGAAGAAATCAAGCAGTCCCGCTATGCTGAATTTTATTTGGGGTTGTCAATTATTTGGTTCAACGCACGATGTGCCAGTGATCCAAGAAACCTCATTCAAGTACTTGTTCGTAAAGCTCGAGGAGGTGCTGATACAATTGAGAAACTCGTCAATGAGACTGAGGAGGATTTCCGGCTCAGAAGATTTAGAGAGTCGTTTAAAAAACTTGAATTCAGTTCCCAGGAGGATATTGTGGAACGTATTCAAGATACAGTATTTCATGATCTAGGTCATGATCTACGTGTTCGTTTTGGGGGATATATTGTATTGCATAGTAGAAATACTATGAGCTCCAAGGAACGCCTCCATTGGCTACTGAATTGATCAAGGTGAAAACTCCAAATCTAAGAGGATTAGGAGGAGCAGCGGCAACTAAAGGAGGAGGAGAGGGAGCAATCACAATAGGAGGGCAGGGGACTGGTCAACATTAGATGATTTGCACCCATGCACTTTAGGAAAGAAGCCTTCGAATAACAATTCAAAAGATGTGGTCAATTCATAGATGGAGCAGCACTACTCTTCTTTATGAGTTTGCCCTGTCTCGCCAGCACGTGCGTTTTATTCTTTTGCAATATAGCCTTACCTTTCTTGTTTCTTCTTGATGAGACAAGAAATGGAAAAGGCCCCCTCCCTGATTTATGGATAAATGTCTGTTGTGTGTGTTTTCTAATTTCAAAGGGATCATATGATGTGCCCTATCTTTTTGTAATATATGGATTGAGTATATTGAAAGTTTATATTGGTATATTAGTCAATGAGGTTCAACGCCAAAGCCCCACATCCTGATAGTTTGATTTGAGCTAAAATGAGAGGAGAAATCGAACCAAACCAAATTGTTAAAGTTAATGTTTAATCCCTTGTAACTCTCGGACAAAAAGAGCTCGAGCTATTTTCTGGTAGAAAAAACTAGTTCGAGCGTGTTTTGATAGACTTTGTCTGCTGTCGTTTTCGGAATAGTTCCCTGTTGTTTCAAGGAACAGAAGATTAAAGGTGATGAACTTTTAAGTCTGTTAGGGTTTTTAACCGCCAACAGTGACACGCTCAAACATAAATGAAAGTTGATTTATTGACCACAAATGATTTTAGGTCAATGGGGAACTTTACCTACCCAGTACAGGTACAACAGAAAAACGGGTAAACAATTTGGCACGCCCGTTGGGATTTCTCTTAATAAACATATTGCTGACATTGTCTGTTGGTGTATGAATACGGGAAGTTCAAGCCAAAACACACAGCTTGCGATGGAGAAAGGTCAGCAGGCATTTCCTGAATGCTGAACCAGAGAGCATATAGGGGTACTTCTTTCAAATCTCTTCCACTTGTTACTTCATTTTAAATAGTTCTCTCTTGGTGTCATTGCATTTGAGGACTTGGAACACAGCAGTAAAACAAAAATGGCTCTTAACACCTCAAAAGTTACTGAATAAACTAGTACTGTAGGGATTTGAACAGTATCATAAAGTAGTTTTATTTCATTAGGAAGTTTTACTCTTTACTGTTTTCATAAAAATGGCTCTTACATATACAAATAGATATTCCGCCCCCTTCTGACCAATTAATGAAGTTTTCATTGTTATTTTAATCTTTTTTGTTTAAAAGACTCAGCATCTATCATTCATCCCACATCAACCATGTCACTTGAGCATAAGGGATAGATAAAAATTTATCTAAACCACAGGCTACTCTGTATTACCAGAAGGAATCTATAATCTTTTATGGATAAACTACTTAATTGAAAATTTGCATATAGTTTGTTATTGATGATTAATATTGTACTTCTTCTAGGAACAAGTTACGGCCAGAGCTTTCTACCATCGAAACCCGAGTTGGTAAGCCATTCTTGATCAGATGGATTGTTCATCAAAGTTCGAACTTCCCAAATCAGCACTTGATCAGCCCATCAACAGTTCTAGTACCGATCATGTTGATGATGGTGGTGAATTAGTCCTATGCCTTTCAATCTTCGGATTCAGCAAACTCTCTGTCGCTGATCAAGATGAGAGGACGGAAGAAATCCACAATAAAGTAGGTGAAGATGTTACAGTGGAGCAACTCCCAGAGGAAACTGAAGACGGTTCAAGAAACTCCCCTTCCCTGACCAGGCTCTTTTCCTTTCCGCAGTTATATAGAAATTCATGAGCGAAAGGCGATTTGAAGAGCTAATTTTTATGTTCAAAACTCAACTAGATGTCAATGATCAACAACAACTGATTGGACAAGTACTGGATCATTTTACAGTGGACAATATCCAGAATACCCGAGGAAACAGAGGAGAATTTCATAATCAGAACATTCACAGAGCTGCCTAGGGACCATGCTGACCATATTTATACTCATCCAGCTTGGGAAGATATTAAAAGACGCAAAAATACACACAAGGTGCAAAAAAAAATGTCAAACATCCTGACATTATTGCTACTCTAGCGTTTCCCTCAAGCCCCAGATGGACTGGCTTATTCATAAACAGTAAAGAAGGTCTGAATTGCAGTGAGTAGTAGGAGTATAACAGCAGCTAAAGCAGACAAGAAAGACCATGGAGTACCAAAATACTTGGATCTAAAACCTTCCCATCGCACATGCCACATATTTCTATGGTACTCATTCACCTCTTTGAACAACTTCCATAGATAACTCTCATCAATATCAAACGCCACACCTTTGCCAAGGTTTTTGAAGAAATGAACAACCTCCTCATCAGTTCCAAGATAATTCTCAACAATTTTCTTGTCACAGAGAAATGATACGTCTTCAGGCGTGCGGATCAGACAACTCATGAATGCAGCGTAACTAGTTACATGCTTTGAGCAATGAGAGTAGCATTGTTCAAATGCTACAAAATTCATCAATAAATCAGTCCGTAGATTGTCGATTACTATGTGTGGAATTTCCAGCACTCCATTGCAAAATCTTATGTCTAAGAAGCTCACTGCCTCCCTTGTCTTGAACTTAATTCCAGCTTGACGAAGCTTTTTAGCTGACTGGATAAATTCAACGGATGGAGAAGTATTTACCTTCCTTCCTGCAACAAACTTTTGCATTGCCTTCCTTGTTCCTTCTAGAGGCTTTTTGGCATACTTAAACAATTTAACGAATGGACGAACATTTCGAGGCTCTTCTTGAGGTGAATGATCATAGGGTTTAGGTATAAAACTCCAGCGGAGTAAATCCAGTAAATGTTTTCCTTCAACAGTAGTGAAGTCCTGATTTAAAACTTGCTCAGGGGCTTCTACTGCATGAGTAAAGAAGTCTAAAGAAAGTTTGGCTAAGGATGAGTCACTATCTTCTCTTGAAGGTTTTGATTCATCAAATAGTTTTTGAAGAAGGAAGAAAGGAATTTGATTCTCAAAACGAAAAAGATCTTCTAAGATATTAGCGAATACGCATGCCAAGTTAAAGATGGGATCGTCTGGATCACTTGGTGACAATCTTCCGACTTTGCAAAAGAGTTCAATAGTGAAGAGACCATCCAACACCATCATCTCAATTAGATCATTACTGCTTAAACTGATGGTCTCCGAGTAGCACCCTCTTATATCTTCTTCCATTGCTGCTACCACCTGGCGATAGCAATCAAGTGTTGGGCCGTTTGAAGGTGTTCGAGCAAGTAGATCGTGAAGAAATCTCCATTTGTGTTGCTGCATCATCTCCAAACGTTGATCTCCATAGTGATATGGACCACTGGAGACAATATGGGGCTGGTAAGTCTTGTTGTTTATTTCCACAAGGCATTGACGTACCTTGAAAATGCAACAAGACTTGTTTCCTGCTGATGGATGCAGAAGCCATCTTGTTTCCTGGATTCTTTGGTCCAAATCCAATGGTGTCGTCTGGATATTGTCTGTAGCTACAATTGTGATGACAGCATGATCTCTTCCTCCATTAGCTATTGGCGAGCTTGATTGTGAGTTCATTAGAATACTCTGCCTTGAATTGATGAAATTGAATGACAAAAGATGTGTTACCACTAATAAAGAGTTCAACTCTCAAGAAGACGAGACCTGAGTAAGGATGGTTTTCAGTTTTCAAGGATCGGAGAAACAAATATTGAAGACAAAAGGAAAGAAAGGGAGAGAAGAAACATGGCGGAGAGAAAGGAGAGAGAGGGGGAGAGAGAGAGAGAGAGAGAGAGAGGCAACGAGGCCATCCAATCACAGATCGCCGTGGCCAAGTGTTTTGGATCTTTGACACGTGTAATGAATCCAATGGTGTTCAATATTTTGGTGGGCCACAGCCCTAGCCTGTGCCTCCAATAATTCTGTGACTTCTGTGAATTTATTATTTTCCTATTTTGAGAGAGACTGTCACTTTAATGGTTTTTTTTTTTATTGGTAACAACTGTCACTTTATTTTCAGTATAAACTAGATGAAAACGAGTCTACTGAATTTCCATGAAAGAGAATGAAAGAAAAAAGCTGGAGGGAGACTAAGACTACGACTAACAAATGGATGGTTCCTCGCAGTTTCAGAGAAGACAGACTGAGGGTGATCAAATTTTCTTTTTACTATTTGTAAGATGCTGAAGTTTAATCCCAACTCTTCTATATATAAATAGTATATACGAATTCTTGATCTACTCAATACATAAATGTATTTTCCACTGCTCTTACAAGCTATAAATTAGATATTTGACAAAATTTATGTACTTGTGGCATTTACAGGAGACGGTTTTAGACTCAATTAGAAAGCTATTTTAGGAACTCTTTATAAAATTATATACATATTACTCGGCACATATTTAATCTATAAAAGCTATTTTAGTGGAAACTTAGCTAAATTCACTAGAAAACTAGTTTAAATAACATACAAGTATTGCTTAACAACAAATCTCCCAAACTTTTCAAAATATTAACCTAACTTATTTTCAGCACCTCAACCATAGGAGCAATCTCCAACTGACACACATATGAAGATAAAATATAATTTTCTTTATTAAAACCTCTGGGCGGAATATCTTGGAAGACAATAATAACTAAAATCATAATTATTCTTCACTAAAAACTACGTTTTCTTACATAATAAAGCCTATTAAATGATAATATATATATTTCTAATCCAAAAAGTAACTTATTTTACTTGTGGTTTGTAGGGGCTTTTTACTTCCGGCAGCAAGTGGGCTATTTATGTTTGTTATGCAAAGTAGATAGTCAACAAGAGGAAAAAACAAACAAGAAAAAGGGAATGTTCTTATCTCCTTATTTTCTCTAGTTTATTGCTTCTGGTCTTTGACATTGGAGGTATTGGTGAAGATATCAGCCTAATCCCCAGCAGAGTCGCCAATTTATGTAGGGGCTTTTTCCTTCCGGCAGCGAGTGGGCTGGACTGATGAAGTTGTCCCCTTTGTTTGAGTTCGAAAATTAAGCCCCAAAATGCTTCGAAAGGGCAACAAAGCCTTAGGAAGTATTTTGGTTATCTTTTCCAACAAAAGCAACAGAAAGTTACAGATAGTTTCTTCACATTCACATATGAACTTTTGGGCTTGGCATGGTGAGCATGTGGCATGGGAGCAAAGTCATCATGGGTTTAGCACTTTTGGAAAGAGAGAGTTTATGGGTTCCTATGGAGGTCAGAGGTTCTAATGGAAGAGAGGAGAGGTTCTAAGGAAGAGAGTTTTAGGTGGTTTTCGTAGCTTCCGGCAGCTCGACAGTGACTCTGTCAGAGCTGTAGCAATTTTGCCAAAGCAGGGGAGATGGGGGAAATGGGCTAGCAAAGCACGAAAATTTGCTGGGTTTGCAAGAGAGAAAGCTTGCTCTCTGAAGGCTGTCGATTGTTGTTGTTTGGCTGGGTGGAAGAGGCCCTATTTATAGTTGCTGGAGTATGCTCTTCTTCAAGAAACCCTAATGGTTTCTTCCTAACTTAGCTAGGCTTTCTTCTTCCTTTCTCCTCTTCCCTCTTGACTTACCTCATAGTGGCAAGGTCAGTTCTGCCCAATCCCACAAAATCAGATGTTTTGGGTGCTCTAAGCCTCTTCCAGCGGCGACCTCAGAAGGGAGCTTCCCCTTTTCACCCATCTTCTTTCTCCTCTTTCTTCCTCTTTCCATGGCCCAGTCTGATGAAGGAAAGAAAGTGACTGTACCTATTGGTTTAAGGGGTGGCATCCTCCCTTGTATGCCAAAATCCCTTGGTTTCTTGAATTCCTATACTTGGAACTAGTTCCCAGCAGCTACCTATGTGTAGATTTCCAACGTTGGTTTTGCTTTTCAAACTGAGTGCTAGGTCTGATGCTGCCCTCTTATTCTAATTTCATAAGTCTTTTAAGTCCACCACATGATTCATCCAACGGATGGGATATTTTGATCAAGTGTTGGCTTATTTTAATTGGGGCAATGGGCTTATCTTGGTTGGGCTATGCTAATTGGGTCAATAGACTTATTTGGCTAGTTTATTCTAATGGGCTTACTTTGGTTGAGGCAATGATCCATCTCCTTCCTTGTGCTTACCCATGTTTGGGCCTAAGAAAATGGGCTTGAGTCTCGAGGCCCCCAAGCGACCCGAGACTTCCATTTGAGTGGCTTGGGCCCACTTAAGCTTGCAGTGTAATTGGGTGTGAAATAACGATTTCCCACTTGGCACGGCATGTTGCTTGGCATACTGACGCTTGATAAAATAATTAGCACGGACTTGCAGAGCTAAATGTATTTTATGCTTTTAATCTTATTTTCTAGCATGATGGATTTTTATTTGGCATGGCATGCAAAGTATAATTCGTGCATGGCAGATTTTCGCATGCTCCAAATTAAGTCTTTTCTCGATAATATATTGCTTTTGGGCCATGAATTCATTCGGGCCTAAAACTTGTTACCATCCATACCACAACCCACTCAAGCAAGCCCCGGGCATTTGAGTGGCTTGGGCCCACTTAAGCTTGCAGTGTAATTGGGTGTGAAATAACGATTTCCCACTTGGCACGGCATGTTGCTTGGCGTACTGACGCTTGATAGAATAATTAGCACGGACTTGCAGAGCTAAATGCATTTTATGCTTTTAGTCTTATTTTCTAGCATGATGGATTTTTATTTGGCATGGCAGGCAAAGTATAACTCGTGCATGGCAGATTTTCGCGTGCTCCAAATTAAGTCTTTTCTCGATAATATATTGCTTTTGGGCCATGAATTCATTCGGGCCTAACCATGAATTTTTGGGCCTCAACATGGTTAATCTAGTAATAGCTGGTTTCCCAAATTATAATGGAAATACTAATAAGAACTTTAATAAAGAAAGACTTGTGTCCATTGTCCAAGATTCCTTTGTGGGACTTTCTTTTTCTTAGGGGCCGTTTGGTTTATGGGAAAGGAGGCTTGGGAATG